GAATTTTGGCAAATAAAAGTGGGGCGTTACATCGTTGGCCAATAAAATCCACTTTGAAGCACCTTGAATGCCGTTTTCCGGCCTCCGAAATGGCCACCACAATTGGACGAGTGGCATGCGGTCAAAATATCATGTTGTTCCTTCTCGGGTACACACCGCCTAATGACCTCGTCCTTTCCGAGATGGAAAAGGTACGAATCCTCCCAAAGAAAGTACTTACACTTTGAAATAAATCTCTTCCTTTCTTGGAAGGATAAGTCATCATTCAAGATACCACTAGCCAAGTAATTAACAATATCGGCATATCAAGGCACACGATCAACAAGAAAAGCATGCTCGTATGGAAATGAATCATCAAGATTGGGCAAATCACAAGAACTCGAAAGCAATGTAAGGCGAGATAAATGATCGGCAACTACGTTCTCACACCCTTTTCTATCCATAATCTCAACATCGAATTCTTGCAAAAGTAATACCCAATGAATTAATCTAGGTTTCGATTGAGCTTTAGCTAGCAAATGCCTTAATGCCGCATGATCACTATACACGATAATTTTATACCCTACCACATATGCACGAAATTTTTCCAAGGCAAAGATAATAGCTAAAAACTCTTTTTCGGTAGTAGTGTAATTAACTTGAGCTTCATTGAGAGTCATGCTAGCATAGGCGATCACGTGATGTCGTTTTTCGACCTTTTGCCCCAAAACGGCCCCCACCGCGTAGTTAGAAGCATCACACATAATTTTAAAAGGTAGGGACCAATTCGGGGGCATCACAATTGGTGTCGTGATCAACCTACGTTTTAGTTCATTGAAAGCATTCATGCACTCATCATTGAAATCAAAGGGCACGTCAAGAGAAAGCAAGGCACACAATGGTCATGCTATTTTTGAAAAATCTTTGATAAACCTCCGATAAAAACCGGCATGTCTAATAAAACTACGAATTCCTTTAACATTCAAAGGGGGTGGAAATTGTTCTATCACATCAATTTTAGCTTTATCGACCTCAATGCCTTTAGATGAAATGACATGACCAAGCACATTACCACTAGGCACCATGAAATGCGATTTTTCCCAACTAAGTGTCAAATTATTCTCAATGCATCTATTCAAAACTTTCCCCAATTTATCAAGGCAATCAAGAAATGAATCACCAAACACGGAAAAATCATACATAAATATCTCAATGAATTCACCAATCATATCCGAAAAGATAGAAAACATGCACCTTTGGAAAGTGGCGGGAGCGTTGCAAAGTCCAAATGGCATCCTCCGGAAGGCAAAAGTGCCAAAGGGGTATGTGAAGGTGGTCTTTGGTTGATCCTCAGGGGCATTCGGGATTTGGTAGTATCCCGACAATCCATCTAGGAAACAATAGTAGGGGTGGCCGGCTATCTTGTCGAGGAGTTGATCAATAAACCGCAAAGGGAAGTGGTCCTTCCTTGTGGCAGCATTGAGCTTTCAAAAATCGATACACATGCACCACCCCGTAGTGGCTCTCGTCGGTACAAGCTCTCCCTTGTTGTTATCCACAACCGTGATTCCACTCTTCTTCGGGACCATGTGAACGGGGCTCACCCACTCACTAACCGCCACGACATAAATGATCTCCTCTTGTAGCAATTTAAGAATCTCCCCTTTTACCACCTCCATCAACGTGGGATTCAATCGCCTTTGACCCTCCCGGATTGGCTTTGACTCATCCTCAAGAATAATTCGGTGCATACATGTGGTCGGGCTTATCCCCTTGATATCACTCAAACTCCACCCGAGAGCATCCTTGTTCGCCATGAGGACATCCACAAGTAACTTCTCCTCCTCACTCGAAAGTCCCGAGTATATTATGGCGGGCTTCTTCTCATTTTCTTCGAGAAAGACATACTTGAGGTGTGGTGGTAACGGTTTAAGCTCGGTCAAAATTTCCCAGGGTTCGGGTTCTTTGGATATCTCAATAAGATCCACCACACCTTCTTCTTCGGGGTCAATCTTCTTTGACTCATCTTCATCAGGGACTCCACACTCACAAGAGACATCGGCGTGGAAAAGGTTATGGACCTCTGTCTCGATCACATCAACATAAGAGCAACTCTCGGTGAACGACGGTGTTGTCTTTGCCTCGCTCATTGTGAAAGTAACCGTTTCACCGAGAGCCGATAAGGTGACTCGCCCGTCTTTGACATTGATGAGAGTGTTGGTAGTGGCCATAAACGGGCGGCCAAGCAAGATGGTGTGCTCATTCCCGGTATTTGGGACCTCTCCCACATCAAGTACCACGAAATCCGCCGGGACAATCAAGTTTCCTACCCGAATCAAAATATCCTCAATAACTCCCTTCGGGTAGCGTAATGTGCGATCCGCCAATTACAAACACATCCTCGTAGGTTTGAGATCTCCCAACTCCAATTGCTTGAAAATCGAGTATGGCATAAGGTTGATCCCGGCTCCCAAGTCAAGCATTCCATTCGTCTATTTTCCATTTCTGAGGGTTATCTTGATCACAAAACCCCCGGGGTCACATTCTTTCCTCAGAATCGTGGTGGAAGCAACTTCGGAAATCATCACCTTTTCATTATCCTCAAATCTCCTTTTCTTCGATGCCAAGTCTTTAAAGATATGAACATAAGCCGACACATTCTTTATCACATCAAGTAGAGAAAGGTTCACATTTACCTTGGAAAGCATGTCGAATAGATCCTTGAATTGGCGGTTCCTCTTGGTGTCTTGAAGTCTACTCGGGTAAGGTACCGGTGGGCGGTATGGTGTAGCCGATTTGTGCAAGGTATCAAGGCTATCGGGTTTGGTTTTCTCCTTCGGTTCCTCCTCAATCATCACCTTTATGTTCTTCCCGGGATCCGTCATAACATTCAACTCCTCCTCGTCATCCTTTTCATCAACATCCTCAACCATCACATCATTAGGCATCTCAACTCGATTATCCACCACTTTACCACTTCGTAAGACCGTCACGGCTTGGGCTTGCTCGGGTTGACTCGGGAGTCGGTTCTTCTTGTTGTCTCTTTGCATCTCATCAATGGACGTCCCAAGTTGTCCCATTTGTGTCTCAAGGCATTTGAGAGAAGCTTGGATTGAATGTACGCCCTTGACCGTTTCATGGAGGGTGGACACGGTTAAAGCGAGGCTTTGAAGATACTTCTCCATGTTGTCAATTCGAGGATCCGAGGTAGGTGCCTTAACTTCTTTTTCAGGCTCCGGTGGAGGTGGCATTAGTTATCTCGGGACAAATCCTCCACGCCCTTGTTGGTACCCTTGAAACTCGGGCCTCGGTTGATATCCTTGAAATTCAGGCCTCGGTTGAAATGGTGGTCGGTTGTTGGGTGGTGCATATTGTTGAGGTTGGGAATAGGCTTGTTGTGGAGCCGGTTGGGGTGCATACCCCGCTTTCGGGTCCCGCCATGAGAAATTAGGGTGATTTCGCCACCCGGGGTTGTACGTGTTCGAATAAGGGTCATTTTGAACCCGAGGGACGTACCCTTGAATGGCATTGATATCATATGGAACTCCTTCAAGATTAGGATCATAAGCCGACTCCATGTAGCGTGGACACTCATGCCCTCCATGCCCCGTCTCACCGCATCAACCACACACCTCGGCCATAACTACTTGAGTGGACTTCGCATCTCTCAATCGTAGTTGTTTAAGTTCCTCCTCCAACGAGGCTAGCTTGGCAAGCACGGCGTCGTTTCAAGACCCGGTTGATGTTGTAGCTTCATTTACGGGGGTCCTCTTACGTACGCTCTTCCGTTGGGAATTCTCACTCAACATTTCGTAAAGCTCGTAGATCTCCTCGGCCGTGTGACTCCCGATATCCCCTTCGGCCGCATGGTCTACCATATATTGGAGAGTTTGGTGGAGACCATCGTAGAAAAATTTATTTAATACCCCGAGGCAAAAGTGATGATGGGGGCATTGAAGTTGATACCCCTTGAACCGCTCCCATGCCTCGTGAAAAGTCTCCCCAACATTTTGGCTAAAGCTTGCGATTTGGGTCCGGAGATCGATAGTCTTTTGATGTGAGTAGTACTTTCCCATAAACTTTTCATACACGACTTCCCAATTTGTGAGTGAATTCGGGAGCAAGGTCATGAACCAAGTGTTGGCTCGGTCCTTCAACGTGTAGGGAAAGCATCTCATTCGAAGTTGGTTCTCGGTTAGGCCTTGGAGAGGGAATATGTTGACGGTTGCATAGAAGTCTCGGATGAAATTGAGGGCATCCTCTTGGGCGAGGCCATAGAATGACGGAAGTTAGTTTAGATGGATGATCTTAAGGTCGTAGTTTCGAGCCACCTCCCCGAGCACGAGACATGAAGTGTTGTCTCCAATGATAGGTCGTGCAAAATATCTCATGTTCGGGGGAGGTGGTGGTGGCAATTGTTCTTCTTGTCCCGCCATTGATTCGATTTCGGGCTTGGGTTGTGGTTCTTCGATATTGAGTTCAACGAAGAGGTCGAATGGCGGTGGCTCCTCTCGGGGTTTACGCCCTCGTTTACCTCGCATAAACAAAACCACAAACTATACCCGTGAACGCACCAACGGAAAGCAAGGGAAAAATCGAAATTGAAACACAAACTAAAACAAAAATTACCTAGAAAATCAAGAGAAATAAAGAGAAATACGGAAATTAAGCAAAATCACACGAAGCAAGAGAAAGACGAGAAAAAGAAACAATCAAATAGCAAATTAGGTGTCCTACTTGCCTTCCCCGGCAACGGCGCCATTTGTTTGATATAGATTTGGTGGGCAAGGGGTAACCGAGCTACCCGACTCGGGTCGATCTCGAGGGAAGGCTATTCGGAGCTTTACTTACTATTCAATCGCTCAAATCACAAAAATGGAAAATAATGTCCTAAACATACTAATCAATTTAGGTTGAGGTTGATTAACACTAATTACGACTAGTGAAAGTAAGTAAACGAGCAACGAGCAAGTGAACGAACTATGGGATTCTAGCAACTAATCCGGAGAGCAAAATCAAGACCAACAAAAGCGAAAGTAAGAGAAACGAACTCCATTTAGCATGCTTAAGAGCCAAAACCAAAATCCTACTATGAAATAACCGAGCTAAATGAAAAGTCACGATTTTTCTAATAGCAATCAATCAATCAATCAACTCCAAGCATCATAAACGAGCTCACAAAAGCAAGGAAAACGAAAATAACTAAAATAGCTACTAAAAGACTGATAATCGAGCAAGCCCTAATTACTTCTACGCACGAGATAGCAAGTAAGTACAAAAATCGAGATCACAAGGCTTAAAAGTAAGTACTCACATCCCTAACGCATGCTTGATCGAAATCGGAAGAAAAAAATTAAAACTTGCATAAACGAGAAGTCACCGGAAAAAGTCGCCGAAAAATGTAAAGAGCATACACCTTACTCTAGAGAGAAAATAAAAAACTTAAGCTAAGAACCAAAAAAGGAAACATTTCATAATGAGCTAGATATTCCCAAAATGCAAATGCCAAAAAGTATTTATACTCCACACAAACACACACTCAAAAACACACATTAAATAAAGGCACTCTCGACCAAGCCGTGGAAATCGTGAGCACGCGGCATGAGGATGGACGGTTACGCATGGGGAAGGCATGCTCTCGACATCGCGGAAAGTGTAGCAGGCTCGCGCGCACGGCAGGCGATGGCTCTCGAGGTCGCAGAAAGGGAAGCGGGCTCGCGCGCACGGTAGGCAGGGGCTCTCGAGGTCGCGGACTTCTCGGCGTGCACGCGAGTGGCGCTGGGCGACGACAGGGAATAGCTCTCGACCTCGCGGTTCTGATGGCAAGCGCGCGGCACGGCT